AAGGAAGTTCTTTACTGTGAGAGTGGTGAGACACTGGCACAGGGTGCCCAGGGAAGCTGTGGCTGCCCCATCCCTGGCAGTGTTCAAGGCCAGGTTGGACACAGGGGCTTGGAGCAACGTGGTCTAGTGGAAGGTGTCCCTGCCCGTGGCAGGGGCTTGGAACTGGATGAGTTTTAAGGTCCCTTCCAACCCAAACCAGTCTGGGATTCTGTATCTTGTGTACGGGATTTGGAGACCACTTTGTACCCTTCAGCCCTGGACAGAGGGGCTAAAAACAACTCCCGGGAAGTTCCTGTCCCTGTCGTTGTCACCTCTTAGCCTGGCAGCATCACGGGCTCAGAGCATCTGCACCAGGCTCACAGAGAGCAAAGCTGAAGATCACTCCTGCAAGACATCCCCCCAACAGATGCCTCGGGGCAGACTGACCCTCTGCTCAGACCCTCACCCCAGGGACAAGGGCTGTATCTCAGAAGTGATGCTGTCTGATCTTAGCTGCACCCAGGGCTCAGTCACCTACTTCTGACACAAAGCTTCTGGAGGTCAGCTGAGGAAAAAGAGCTGTAAACATCTGCACAGCTGTGAAACAAAATCACACACTGGAAAGGCAAGCCAATCAGTCTGGGTAATTAAGACAGCTTATATTTAATGCTGAAGCCATCCAGAAGAGGAAGGAGGAGTGGAAAAAAAGGCAGAAAAAGCAGCTATTTCCTAAAATTTCCTTTTGCTTTGTTTTTCTTTTTTTTTTTTTACCCAGTGTCATGAATTTTGCTTACACAGGGCTTAGCTAAGCATGCAAACCTAAATGTGAATGATGTTCCAGCCTGAGCTTTGCCATGGTGTGATACCTCTGCAACACAGCGATAGCTCTTAATGTAAGTGTGGGCTCAGAGCACTGAGGTGACACTGAGAAGTCCAAGGCAGCTGGTTCTCCTGCCTGCCTGCAGAGGCCACTGGGCTGTTCCAGCAGCCAGGACCAATGCTGGGAGGGGTGGGCTGCAGAGCTACACATCTGGAAAAGACCTACCAAACACAGCACCAACTGAGAGATACACAATATGAGTTATGGGCTAAATGCTGCTCTCACATCAGTGTAAACTCCTTTAGTTGAACAGAGTTAAATTAGTTCTACAGCATATGGAGTATTTATTTGTCTTGAAAGGATATTTCTCATTTTACCATCTTCACAGCATCTCCCAACTAACCATGGCAGCAAAACACTGACTGCAACAAAATGCTCTTATCACGCTCCTACTCTGTGCAAAGCTACTGAGCATCACTTCCAACTCCATTGCCTGAGGCAGGGGATTCCTGAAAAGACCAGATTTTCCCCTTCTGCAAAGAGAGGGTATTCCTGCTCACCAGCCTCCCTTCCCACGGGGCTTCTCCCTTTGCTGCTCAGTGCCCATGTCCCAGAAGGCAATGGTGTCTGAATGGCACCTGAGGAAGGATGCTGTGGAGTTCTGTCCCTCTTCATGATCAGGCAGTGGGCTCTGAGGGATATGGCACACTAATCTGAAATGAAGACTGTTGAGTGATAAGCTTGGAGGTTTGGTGCACAAGGGCAGTCTGCTGCAGCAGAGATAAGGAGCTGAGTTGTCAGAGCACCTTGAAAGGAAATCAAGGAGCAGCATCAGAGCAAAGATAAGACAGGGCACTCCTGTCTCCTGGCGTGGTGGCTAAGGGAATGGAGATGGAAAGGTTTAGAAGTTTACCAAAGACATTACTTTGTCAAGAGTGAATTTATGGAGAAGGCACAATGCTCAAGCTCTTGGTCACGACAAACAACATAAGAAATGACATGGAATCAAATGAGACCCATCAAGTGTCCTCTCTCCAGCACTGCCCTGAATAAAAAAAGAGTGATCTTTTCTCCTTCAAAAATAACAAGCTCCATCCTCACTTCTCGTACTCTGAGCAACCACACCACCCTTGCACTAGGGCTAAAGAGGTTCCTCTGCAAGCGGGGATATATAGCCTCAAAATGAAGACACTTCCAGACTCACAGGAGCAGCCCACACCTCTGACCCTTCTTAGACATGCCAAAATACCCACTCAGATTGGCTAGATTCTTCCCCCACCAGATTTTTACTACTTTTAACCCAAATGGTTCAGCTGAACTGAGTGCAGGTACACTTGATTTTCAGCACTGTAAGCCAGGGAAGAATGAGGCTTATCTGCATGCTGAAATACGTCCAGGTGAATATATAGCATTTATTCATAAAGCATGTAGGAGCTCGCTGTTGTTTGAGTCTCACTGTTTCTTTTGTTCTGCTCACATCAGAGAAAGGCGCTATGATAAGAAGATGAAACACTGGTACAGCCCAAGAGCACTGCTACAAGCACAGGTCACTGTTTAAATATATCCAGCAGCCTCTAGAGACTGTAGGACAGGGGTTTGTGGCTGGACTTTTTGTGCTGTTCCCAGACCCCTCAGCAACCCTGTTCTCAGGCTGTGCAAGCAGCAGCATTACAAATGTAGCTCCTGGAAGGGCAGTGCTGGAGACGTGCAGAGCCACCTCACCCCTGTGCTTGGCAGAGGGCAGACATCAGGGAAGGGGGGATATAAACCCCCCAGTGATCTGCAAGAATACAGTTCCAGCACGAAAAGCAGCAAAATCCCACTCACACTGGGATTTGGGATATTTCGTAGAGGCATCTGCGGGTTAGGACATAATACAAAGGCTTTTTCTTACACGACTTATTAAAAGCACTACTAATAATACACTGCGAGCCTGATCTGAAATAACCCTTGCTATTTCAGGTCTGGCTTTCTCTAGAACCGTGCCACCTCCTGTACCCGCGCTGAGGCAGATAATCCTCACATGAAACGATTGGGCTTAAAATGTCAGGAATCCAACATGGAGCCTGAGAAGAAATAGAAAACCAGCATTTACTGCTTGTCCGAGAGCCACACTCCTCACACACAGCTCATCTGATCGCTGGGTACACACAGCTGCTAACCCTGCTGCTGCCCAGCCTCCTTCAACATCTACAAACAGGATTCAAGCTCCAAAGTCAAAGATGCTTTGAAACATCTTATTGTCAAAAAGTGCTGGTTTTGCTCCAGGGAAGATGAAAGGCAAATCTCTCATAGACCTAGACCAGTGCTTTTGGAAATCCTTCCCTGTCTGGCAAACCGTCTTTTTCCATTAGGGATTCAGAGCCCAGGTTAGCTTTCTGATGGTCTCTGGTTTCTGTGGATGCTTATTGTAGAGCTTTAGTTTGTGTGATCTTTGGTATTGGAAGTAAAAAGTCCAAGGACCCTTGAGGACTACAACTGTCAAACCTAACCCTTCCCTAAGGCATTTCCAGAAGTATTAGGCCAAGTGCTGGAGCAATCCAGTGGACTCTGAAAGCCTGACTCGCACCTCTATGGGAAGCCAGTGCAGGGAGAGTATGAGTGTGTGAACTTGCATAATTCCTATCACACCGCAGCATTCAGCATTGGCTGCATTTTCCTGAGGGCTGATGGCTTGAAGCCCAGACACTGTGCGTTTCATTATGATAAAAAGAACCACTCAATTAAAGAGCTCACTCCTGCAGCCCTTATTTTCAAACTAACACTTGTATAAATGGTCCTACAGCTGACAGCAAGAAGGATTGTGTAAGAAAGGACAGACCCTTTGAGCAACAGCAGGATGAACAGAGCAAGCTAAACAAGCACACGTAACCCAGAAGTAAGCTTTTCAGTATGGGTAGTAGTAATTGCCCCTAAATAGAGTCCAACTTTCTCCACTGAAGCAATAAAAATACTTAAAATAGTGACAGTTACAGGTGCTTATGGAAATTTTCCTCCAAGCACAGATCTCCTACTTCCCCCCCTGAAGCACATTTCAGGGTGTTTTGAAAAGTAAGCCAGGCTGCAGCACTTTCCCTGATTGGGAATATTGTTTTTAAAGCGCTTACTGCAGATCCCTGCTCCTCCAGCACAGCGCAGGGCACAAGGCATCAGCACTTTCTGTGCCTCTGCAGGAGGACAACCAGAGAGGAAGGCAGCCTGCCTTCAGCTCTGCTCTCCTCTCCTCCCTCCTGCATCAGCTGGTCTTGAACTGGGTGCCTGCAGTGCTTGTGTACCCACATGTAACGCAGCCGGGTGCTGCTGGCTTTCCTTCCACAGGCTTGGGAACAAACCAATTGGAGGGAATGGGGTATGGGAACAGAGAGACTATCCCAGCAGCCCCACCTGCATGGCCCCCCACTGCTGCATATCACCTTGACAATTCTCCACTGTGAGGATGCTCACCAAGAATTCCATTTAAGTGTGAAATCACTGCAGTGAACCGGAGAAAAATTGCCTCAAATCCATACAGGTGGTGTTCCGAGTTAAATAATCCCACAAATTGGAAGGGAAATAAACCATTCATCATTTTCTCCTTCTAAATTAACGAAGATCAATCAGTACTTGCAGGATTATAACAACATCTGAGTAAGATAAATAAAGCAAAGTATGGGGTCAAGGCTGGAGATTTGGGGATCAGGTCAAAGAGGGCAGAACAAGACTCTGCCCTTGCACTGGACCAGGGTAGAGTAGCCTCAGATAAAGCTTTAACTGAGTGACTTGAAGCTTTCCCCAGCTCCTCTCTCCCACTTCTGGCTGTGGCTGCCAGAACATGTTCCCTTCTTGTAGGACTGCCAAAACCCTGACAGTGAGGATGAGATTATGTACCTGCACCTGATGGCACCAGTTCAGATGGACACTCAGACAAGTATTTATCTAAGCTTAACTCCATCCTTATTTAGCAAAGTACTTACGTATAGGCACAAATTTATGTCTCTATGGCTACAATAGACGTAAGCCTCTCATTAACACTCCCCCCGCCCCGCCCGGGTTTAAGTGCCATTCTTAGTTGCAGGACAACGCTTTGCATATGTGGAAGGCCATGTTTCTCCTCTGCTTCTCAGAGTCCCCTCTGGCCTCTTCATGCAGAAGCCAGTCTGCAGCGACTCACCAGTGTGGAGAAGAGCATGGTGGGGTGAGAAAAAGGCAAAGCAAGACTTACGTTGGCTTTGAGGCTTCAGCCTGGTCAGTCTGCAGCTTCTCCCCACCTTCGACTTCCATGGTGCAGTAGACAATGCGGTTGGGGGCCAGCGACTTCAGACCCTGCACCTCCATGATAACAACCTGCAGGGCAAAGAAAGAGAAATGTAAG